GACACGGTGTCTTTAGTCTGATTACCCTTGGTCTGCTGATCTCAGGAAGTGCTTGCCCACATGTACATCTCTCGTGAACAGCCTGTACCTTCTATATTGTTATTGCAGCATTGTTATCACGCCTGCCATGGTACACCAGGTGGAGCACAGGACAGAGACACAGAAAAGAGAAAATGGAGAGCCCTGCCCATCGGAGTCTACAGTTTCCAAGATGTCCAAATACACAAAGATACCTGAACACAGTGTTATAGGTAAGCACTAAATAAACATTAAGGATTGCTCCTAGTTTTGTGCTAAAGTTCTTCACACAAAACTCTAGGGGTTAGAAAGCAGAGAAAATATGTAAAATTAAACATGTCCTCATAAAGCAAGTGTGTAGTGACCATATTAAACTAGGAAACATCACATGCAAGCCACAGCAAAGTCAAAGCGATAATAATTTAATTTTTGGTTTGGATACTTAGTTAACAATTTTCATGCAATATGAGAAAAGCATTTAAATAATTTCTCAAATTGTGCTCAATTCATTTGGATGAGTGTGTGTTTCTTCACAGAAGTATTGCTCTAACACCAGAAAGAGTTTTAACATCACTATGCTCCTAATACAAGGCTTGAGGCACATGGAATAAGATTTTAGGACTTTTTGATGGATGCGGAGAGAAGTTAATTACCTAAGAGGATGGGGTAGAAGTTGACTACAGTGTGTAACATCTTGCCTTGTCAATTAAATCCATTGAGTATTGATTGGCTGGGGATGTTGAAGAAACTGGTGGGTGGCCTTTGTCCTAGAAGATGTTATAGAAGATGTTATTGCAGCTGTGACAATCACTTCAATAAGTTAAGTCAATTGCATTAAAGAAATAAATTACATTAAACATGCTTTGTTTTGGATTCACGCTTCTTCTTCCTCCATTCCCAATAAATTCCATTGATTTGGGGACCTTCAAAACATCTTTTCTCTGTCCACTTTTCACCACCAACATTGGGTGACTTCTGGATATCTCCTGAGTGGCTTTTTATTTTTCAGTCCTAATTTCTCTCCACTCTCATTCCTCTTAGCAAGAGCTACCAGAACACTCCTTTTGATCACTTCTTCCTCATGGAAAACCTCCAAATGCTTCTCTTTGCTGCCTTATGAAATCTAAACTTCTCCGTGGGATTTGCAGAACATGAACAACATGGTCTACCTTCCTACTCAAAATTATTTCCTGCTGCTTTTTAATATCTTTTTCTCTTGTAGTCTAGTAAAGAGGAGGGGAAATTGGAAAAGGCAGTGGGTGGGGAAGGAAGAAATTGATTAGCATTCTTTGAATTCCAGTTCCTTCTGGCCTTGTCTCATGGATTACCGTGAGGAGGTGGGCACTGGCCACACTCTTCCCCCTGAAGAAACTGCAGTTAGGAGGGCTCTGCCCAAGTGACTACTTGCCCGAAGCTAGAAAGCTGGTCAGGAGAGCTGGAATTCTGACCTAGGTTTGTCTGAGTTCCTTCTTTTTACCAATATCCCATTCGTTGTGCTTATTATGCAAGTTGTCCCTTGCCACAACCACTACCAGCCTACACCTGAAATGCCCTTCTTCCTGCCTCACTTCCAAGATCCAATTCCTCGAAGACATCCTAAATCCTAAGCATCTCTCTCCTAAACTATCTTAAAACTTAGCCCCTTTGACTGATCCCCAAATTGGTAAGGTGGGGTCCCTGCTATGTGTTCCCATAATATCCTGTTTTTATCATACCATGTATTTTTTATAAACATTTTTATTGTTATATAACAAATACAGAGGAAAGTGCATGTGTCATAACTGTATAACTTGATGAAATATCAAAACGCAAAACCACTCATCAGATCAGGAAATTAACAGCACCCAGAAGACAGTCCTCTCAACAATTAGCTCTATCTTCCTCCCTGAAGGTCTCCATATCTTGACTTCCAAGTAGGTTCATTTTGTATGCCTGCTTTTAAATTTTACATAAATCAAATCATACAGCCTGGTTTTTGTTTGTGGGATTTATTCCTTGTTGTTTTCCATAGCGATTATTTATTCATTTTCATTTTATAGTATTCCATTATATGAAAACACACTCATTTATTCATTTTACTGCTGGTGGACATTTCAGATTGCTCTTGTTTGGGGACTAACATGAACAGTGTTACTGTGAACATTATTGCAATTTTTTGTTTGTTTGTTTTTGGCACCACCCTCTAACCAAGTGAGCTAACTGGCCAACTCCATTGCAAATTTTTTATTGAGTATACAAGGGCTCTTCAAAAGTGCATGGAAAGATTTGTGTTATCTTTTAATTCCACTTTTTCATGAACTTTCTGAAATACCCTCTCATGTACACTCTTTGTAGCATATATCACAGAGTGGAACTACAGGGTCATAGGTTATACATACATACATCTTTAGTAGATACTGCTTAAAGAGTTTTCCAGAATGGTATACCAGTTTATGATCCCACCGCAATGTATATTTTTGCAGCTGATTCTCATCTTCATCAACCACCGATAGTGTTTATATTTGCAAAATTTCCCTCTTCTTCTCCCTCTCACTCTTTGCCCAGCATGACATCTAGAAAGTACCTTCATAAAAGTCTGGTGAATTAATAAATGAATGACTAACAAACACACAGTTTGCTTTTATATTCTTCTGTCACCTCTTTGGCAGGATAAAGTAATGGTTACAAGTGTAGGCTTTGGGGCTGGACTGTCATGATTTGACGTCTGACCTTACCACTTACTAACCAGCAACTACCAAGTGCTAGTTTCCTCACTTTTGACATCTCAGAGTCATTATAAAGATAAATTGAGCACAAAATACTTAGAAAAATATCTGGCATATAGTAAGGGCTCAGTGGTACTGGCTATTATTATTATTATCCAATCCTTAGAGTTCCTAGAACTCCATTAGTAGGAATTGGGTCATCCCCCTGTGAAGCCCGTTCTAGGCACCCTGTCCCATGGAGGGCCTCTGAATTTCTAAAATTCTCTTTACCCCTCACTCACCTTCTGTTGTATATTATGGGTAGGTCTCCTCAAGTAGGTGGCAAATTCTATAAGAACCATGATTGACTTATTGGTTTTAGAGTCATATTTTAATTTATGGAAACCTTAGCGAGATAAGTCCCCCCAAACCCATAACTAAGCAACTCAGAGCTGGAGAGCTGTGGGGAAGCAAGTTATCCCTTATTTAATCATCATGCTCAAATGTAGGCTGGCTGCAGCTCAGGGAACAGGCTGACGGGGGTGTGCCCACTCCCTAGGATAAAAGATACCTCTGCACGCATGATGTTTGACATGGTGGTGCTTAGTAAATATTTGTCATGTGTTTATTGAGCTCTTGTTCTTTCTTGACTTCCTTGTTCTTGCCTTCTTCCCTTCCCACCCACTTGTGCTTGATCTAATCTCTCATGTGTGTGACAATGCCTGGGACTCCTCTGGCACCTTTCCATCCTGGAGTAATGCAAATCAGATCTTAGACAGTGAATGACGATAACCCAATCAACCCCATTTCTGCCCTTAAAAAATAAAAAAACCTTTTTAATCCACGACTGGCCCCTCTGAGTTATCTATGAGATTGTAGTTTCTTAGCCTGCAAGAACTGTGTTCAGATAAAAATGTGATGTAAGCATAGCTGTTATTGATAATGAGGGGAAAATACACAAAAAATCTCCCTGTCAGAGCTGGCATCAGTCTTTACCAGGAAAATGCATGCTTTGGATTCCACTTGTGTGGGTTTGGTAGGGAATTTAATATGTAGCTAATGCCCGTAGAGTAGAGGAGTTAACTGCAGAGCGAGAGCCGTGGCCCACCCTGAGCAAGAACTCATGCACTGGCTTTGATCCTGTTCTTTTGTTGGATCTTGAGGGAGAAGGACTAAGTCATCTCCGAGCACCTGTTCAGCCCTTAGAAGCCTTGGGGGGTTATGGGGGAGAGGGAGCGAGGTAAGGTGAGATGAGGCCCAAGAGCCACAACAGGAGGAAAAAAGGTCACAGCTTTCCCTTGGGGAAATCCCTGTGCAAACCGGGAGGTCAGGGCAGAGGGAAGCAGCGGGCTTGAGTGTGCCAGCGAGATTAGGAGGCCGCAGCTGCTGGAGGCCTCCCTGATTACTTGCTAGATATTAGTGTGAAAGGCCCAGGAAAGTGGAAAAGTCCAAACAATTTGTACTCAAGACAAGGATCACCTAACCTGGTTCCACCTTCTTTCTCCCACAGTACGTATTCCAGTGGCATAAGCTCTAGGAGCCAGGTTCACACAGGCTCAAGAGGCTTCAGGTCCAAGCCAAGGATTATGTGCTCCTTTGGGGTCCCTTTTCTGAGCCCACTCTGGACTTGGGTCAGCTTTGGATCCTCTCAGAAGCCAGGAAGTCCAGCCAAGTCAGCTTTTGGGGAACATATCCATGTATTATAACATCCTCACCCTCATTAGTGGCATTCTCCTAAACTTGCTAGTTATCTTGTTTTCCACTTCAACAAACTGCTTTATTTTTTAAAAGTCTGCTTTTTCCATCGAGCTCTGTAAGGGCAGAGATTTGTGTCTGCTTTGCTCACAAAGCAACGATATCCCCAGCCCTTAGAAGAGCTTGGCCCAGAGAAGGTTCTCAAACATTTGTTGAAAGAATTATCTAGTACTGAAGTCAAATGTCAGGATAATCAGTACTACTTCATAGCTGTCCTTGCAAGATGGGTAAGTTGAAAAAGATTAGTTTGTATTTCTTTTTTTGCTGCTGGCCAGTATAAGGCTTGAATCCCAGAACTTGGTGTCATCAGAACCACACTCCAACTGAGCTAATCAGCCATCTCTGTTTGGATGGATTTGAGTGACCACTAAAAAGGTCTGGAACATAGGTGGGCTTTAAGATCACCCTATACTCCCCTAGTGTCAGAAGCTGCTGCTATTTGGAAGTAAACCATTAAGTTGGAAATTACAGAATTTTTTAAAATTTTAAACTAACCCATTATTGCCCCTTTAACTGAAATATACAAAATAACACATGACACAATTTATGTGAATATTTTTCAAGGTTTTATTACAAACCCAAACTGGTTTATCACACACAAAAAAAGTTGTGTGGTGGGGAGGGAAGGATTGTACATATTATAACCATGTTAATTACAGTACATTAAAATGGTGGTTTACATTACAATTAAGCCTGTAAGTTAAATATACTAGTGTTATAACCAAATGTACAGACTTTCTTTATACAATACATAGAATTACCAGGAATGCAAAAAAGAAAAAACATAAATAATGCCCATTTTACAGGTGACATTTTAAACAATGAAAACACCAACAGCTTTGACTGACAACTGGGGCATTGGTCCATAAAAACCCTTTCTAAAAAATAGAAATATTTGTAGCAGCAATGCTTTCTTTAAGCATCTGAATACAAGTCATTGCCAAGACCATTTCGATAAATTTTAATTATTAACTGCATCTTACAAAAAAAAAAAACCAGTCTACACATAAAATTATCTTCCAAATATGGAAGAAACAAACAATGTCCCACATTGTAGTGTCCTGCAAGTGTCACATTGATGCTTATAACAAAATCCATCTGTGATCAAGCATACCACACTCATACCACTGTTCACACAGTAAATCTACAAGGAAAAATAAAGAACTGAAACACTCTGCAATAGGAAAAGCTTTGGAGCTAACACGATCTCATCAGAAAAGGCACATTTCATAATATTCATTATCACAGCCCAGACAGACCTTCAGACAATCCTTCTCAGGAACGGCATCCCCCTTCTAACAAGACTGCTTTGTCTGTCTAAGGCGGCACGCTGATGCTCATTTCAGAGATAGCACCACGTTGGAAGGAAGAATAAAAATGAAAACCTTATGAGAGGAAGATGTGCTCTTTGAAAAGCTTCCAGCAAACAGTGTGCAATAAGATTGCTAAGCTTCCAGAGATGTGCAAATTCTCTTTTAAGATGTCCTGTCAGCTGGCAGCTCTGCCAAAAGGCTAACTAAAACATTTAAAAACACACATAAAATCCTTCAAAACCAACCCTAAAACTATTTAGAGGAAAGAGTCGATGGGAGGTGCATATGAAAAGCCCAGGAAGGCCTCAGCAGCTTCCTTGACGCTGGCGGTGATAAGAATGCTATCAGGAGACCTGCCAATAGAGTTGGGGACAGGTTCTTCAGTAAACTCAGGATCAAAGTGCCGCAGGTCACTGGGTCCACTCTGTTACAGGAAGAAAAAAAACACACTCCGTGTCAAAAATTCACACTGGATACAGGACAGGGAGATGTTGATTTAGGCTTTAAATAATACTGGAGCTCAAATCTTTAGGACACTATATGGAAATTCCTATAATCACCCACCTCAAACACAGTATCCCAACAGCAACATACAATCTAAATAACAAGGATAATGTTCACTTTTTATCTTTGGTGCTTTGATTGATAAATGTGTTTTAAAAATTTTGAGTTTAGTCCGGACAAAAATACTACTTTTTCTCTAGGGAAAATAATGGGTCTGTAGATAAAACCTCTGCCAGTTTATTCCTTGAGGTTCCCCAACCACAGTAATCCTGACTTAAAAGAAATGCTCTTTGGGCCTCACTATACTTAGAAAAGACACAGATACTCACCACATTTGGGTTAAAAGGTGGAGTAATCTTCTTATTAATGAGATCATCCCAGTTCATTAGGGAGAAGAAGACATGATTCTTAATCTCCATCTGTTGAGAAGAAACCCAAGATTAATTTAGACAGGTGGAAGTCAGTAAGGGCAGTAAAGCCTAGTATACCTCCCAGCCAGCCCAGTAGAACTGGAAAACATCACTCACAAAGTCATCCTTGGCACCGAGCCTCTTTGTCCTGTCCTTCTGCAGGAGGCCCTCCAGGAGGTGTCTTGCGGAATTCGTGATATTTGGTTTCAATTGGAGGGGCTTGTTCAGAATGTTGTCGTACATCTCAGCTGTGTTTCGGCTATAAAAAGGAGGCTGAAAGATGGGGAAAAATTACTTCGTACTCCATTGGAAGTTTTGTGTAGCATATATTACCAATCAAGAAAAATATTTAAACTGCTATGTATTAAGCTGGATTTGAGAAAGTCTTTCCCTTGAGGTTTTCTTTGCCTTTGATTTTTAAGGGTCTATTTTGCAAACCCTTATTTGGGGGAGAGGAGGTGAGAGGTGGTAGTGATGCTAATAAGCCATGGTTTTTTCACAGGTTAAGTGTGGTCCTATCTAAAATGTGAAATATACAAAAGAAAAATCCACTAGGTAAGAGACTGCTCTTATATACTCATAAAATAATGAATATGCCTCTCTCAGCAAATTTTGATAAGCTTACTGATAAGGGACAGATACAATGGCTAGGCCTACATTTTGGCCTGTGCCCAGATAAGTCTGGATGTCAGGAAGACAATATTCTAGGGTGCAGGGACATTGAAGCGGGGGATGTTCCACAGTTCCCAAAGTGCTACTCACCAGGCCATAGAGCATCTCATATAAGACGGCCCCCAGGCACCACCAGTCCACAGTCCTGTCATAAGGCTGCTTATGAAGCACTTCAGGTGCGAGATACTGAAAGACAGACCAGGAAAACTGAGGTTAGAATCTGTAAATCCAGGCAATCCAAAGACCAGGCATGAGAGACTTTGAAAAGGCTGACAGCCCCAGAGTCAACTTGGAAAATTTCTTTAGATTACTTCCTGAGAAAAACGGCTATACTTGTTAAGCCTGATGGGCCACCTATGTGTACTGATATTTAGGAAGCTTCTGGGCACCCAATGGATATCTTACTTGGAGACTTAGAAACCTTTCCTGACATGGATCTTACAAACAGCTAGTTTTAATTAAAGGAACAGAAGGCCTTGGAATGTCTCATGTTGTATCAAATAGCAAATATATTTTACTTGCACTGAATTGTACTAAGAGATTTTTGAGAAAAATTTACTCTTTGGTAGCTGCAAGCATTACTGCACATATGTTTCCTGGAAAGAGGGGTAGACCAGGCACCAAATCAAGAGGGCTCCTACCTCAGGTGTGCCACAGAAGGTGGATGTCGTGCCGTTGTGTTCGATGTTCTCCTTGCAGAGTCCGAAGTCAGTAAGGACAATGTGTCCCTGTGAATCTAGCAAAATATTCTCTGGTTTTAAGTCTCTGTAAGAAAAAGATGAATAGAAAAGTAGTTGCATAAGCTAATTTCATCTCATAAGAAATCCTCTGTAAAGATAATTGCTAAGGTTATTAGAAGCATTTAAAATTCATGGCAGTTTATATAGTGAATAAAAAAGGGAGTCCTTGTTCTGCTAATCTATTTTGGATTAGGTACAATCCTAGCTGGCTGGTTCCCAACTGGGAATCAAGACAGCTCACATGCTAGGGGAGCTGGTTTTAGGTGACCAAGTTGCACATAAACACGAATTATGTGAAGGCTCTATCAAAGGCTAGGGCTATGTCTCTATTATACCCAGGAAGGCAGCCTTTAAGAGCTCCTTGACTTACCTATAAACGATGTTCAGAGAGTGCAGGTAACCCAAGGCACTGGCTATTTCAGCAGCATAGAAACGAGCCCGTGGTTCCAGGAAGCAGCGCTCCCTCTGGAGGTGGTAGAACAACTGCAGGAGACAGACAAAATTAGTTTGGGTTGCCAAAGCATTTAATTAGTCTTGACATATATAGCCAATGAGAACAATTATAGGAAGTGGCCTAAATAATCCACTAACTATTTGAAACCTGGCAGATTAAAGAAAAAGCTAATTCCTGTAACTCCCCACCCCACCCAAGTATCTTTGAAAACTTTCTTCTCAAACTAAAACGAGGCAAGACACCAAGGGTTGGCTTCTGTTCCTCTGCTCACCTCTCCACCATTAATGTAGTCAAGGACAAAGTACAATTTGTCCGCAGTCTGGAAAGAGAAGTGAAGGCCCACTAGGAAAGGGTGTTTCACGTTCTTCAGTAGAACATTCCTCTCTGACATAATATGCTTCTCCTAAGAAAGGATAATTAAGATTTAGTGACAAATTTCAACTTGGTACCAAAATTCTAAGGTAAAGATTATTGAATGAGGGTCTGCCTCCAACTCCAACCCATCAAACACATCTCCTACCTCCTTCTTTTTCAGGATTGCTTTCTTCTGTAAAACTTTGACTGCATAAAACACTTCTTCTGCCTTGTGTCTTGCTAGAAGAACCTGAAATTGTAATTTAAAAAATCATTTTTCTATCCTTATGCAGGGAGAATGTAAATTGAAAAAGTGTATAGAAAGGTCTTCAGATTTGAAATTACCTTTCCAAAACTGCCCTTCCCAATCACTTTCAAAAAGTGAAAGTCAGATGGTTTAGCATGAGGATTGGATGACGGACCAAGGTTGATTTGCTGAGAAGGACTTGGCTAGAAAAGAAAACATTTTCATTTAATGTCACTGCTTCAAAGGAAGATATCTATAACAAAGTATGGGCAGTGTAAGAATTTACACATACAAATAACTGAGGCAAACCACCATATAACTATAAACACATTCAAAACTACTTTAAATCCATACATATTATTTCAAATGAGTATGGAAATTACACAAATCATGTTGTAAACAGATGAAACTTTTATGAAATATGCATTTTAAAATATTCCACTGACTCACTACTTAAGTACTTATGTCACTTGTTATGCTATGAACTAATGAGGCATTCCTGCCTTGATACTAATTTCTAGAAATGCTATTTTAGTCCATCAGTGTGGGAATACTAACTGACTCATTTACAATTTTCCTCCACAGATGCATTGCAAATAGAGAATACTTACTGGGGGAGAAGGGTTGGCATTCATAAGCTCAGGCTCCTGAGGTTGGGAGATTTTCAAAATGGACTGAACTTCAGGGCTGCAGAGAGTAAAGGAACGATTTAGAACATCTAAACTTGCCACTAGGGGGCACACCAACATTAACAGTGAGTTTCTGGCTCAAATTTTCAGTGTTTAAACTAAAAACATCGAAATTACTCAAAGACAATAACAGTTAAAGAAAATAAACCCGGTTAAATACAGAAATTAGGGCTGTTGTTCACGGAGAGATGGCGTGAATCAGGCAAACACGAAAAATTTATCATCCATCTCCAGAATAAGCCAAATTTAATTTCAGTGTTTAAAATGTTTCAAATAAATTATCACCTAAGGAGAGCAGAAAAGAGATCCCCACGCCGGGGTGGGTCTTAGGCTCCTCCGTCAACACAGTGATGACAATGAGTCTTTACTGCTGGTAAATCCAAACTATACTACTTATCTCTATTTCCTAAAATCCTCTCAAACTTACTGTTTGCATGCATAGGAGTTATTGGCAATCTTCTGAATAAAGTCGTTCAGGCCCATCCTCCTCTGTTTCATGAAAGCTGTGAATTAAAGGAGAAATAAACATTTAGACGGCTCCGTAACGCCCGACGCCACACACACTAATCTGATCCGGGACTTTCAAACAACGTCCAGTTAGAGCCCAGCCTTCTTCCTGCACTCACCGATGAGAATGGCTACCATTCCCCTCATCTTGGAGTAAGTGAGGGTGCCCCTGGCAGCCTCGCTTTTCACCGTCATCGCCACCAAGAGCGCCCAGCGAGCGTTGTGCGGCGGGCAGCGGCTCAGCCCACACTGCGCTGGGGCCGCGCGGCCGGCCTTATAAGCGCAGCGCCGCCGTGTGGGCGGGGCCTGGCCACGCTGAGGAAGCGGCGCGGCCCCGCCCCCCGGTCGGCCAACCTCGCGGCGGCCTGCGGCGGCCGGTTGCGTC